ATAATTACGGCTCCAAATTGCATCATTTAGATTATTGTTATAACTTTGGTAATTATATTCCATTTAATTATTCGGGTAATGAAAGGATGCTCTTTAAAGGAGCTGTAATTACTTTTTGAATACAGGTACATAGATAGATATATTCTGTACTGAAATTTTAACATGTAATTTCATAGCAAAATATGTGAATTAATAACATTGAATTACTTAATAGATATAGGAACAAAATATTTTGGACTGAAATTATACCTCTCTTAAATCGTACCTCTTCAATATCTGGTTTAAAATCGCATTTGCGAGACACTTTTTGGTATACTTAGCAAGAACAACAAGACGTCCAATAGTACAAAAGATATTTTTCAAGTAGCACCAGTGCTGGAAGAAATAATACTTATCGAAGATTCTTCTGCGCTCTAATATTTCGATTTTATATGATTTATGTTAAATGATAATTTTATGGCTTAAAGGAATGTAATTGAAGATGTATATTTTTTTCTGAAACTAGAGAATAATTGCTTTAAAACCCAAAATCTTATCCCTAATTCGTGGTAAGAAAATTGTTTTTTTATGACGATGTGCAAACGAGTAAAATTTCCTGTGCGCAAAAATAAACTCGCGTAAAATAACAATAAACAGCGTAATAGAGAGATATCGCTAAACCGAATAGCGTGCATGGACGTTAATAAGGCCAGATGTTATTTCCTTTACGTGAAGTGGTATTCACTCTATTCATTTATAGTTATCGGATCGGAAAGAATTCTGTTCGCGTCGCATCCGCTATTTAAACTTAACCTAACTTTGAATTTAAAACTTTGAAATTGTTTTGTTTACTAGGTATTTTAAAACTAAAGGGCTAAAGTGCTTATTTCCAGTGCTTTACTGTTCAATGTGGGTTTAGGGCAACAAGCAACAAATACTCTAAGAAGGGCTAAGTCGTCATCTACTGTAAACCTAAGCGTCTTTATAGGTTCTTTAATATTAAGAGAGGTAGAATCCACATTTTGGGCCATATTTATTTAATTAAAACTAATCCCAGCTACTTGAATATCAAATTACCTAATAAAACTAATGTAATAATTCAAAACAATTCAAACATAACCTAAAATAAAAGATCTCGCCGGCCGGCCCCCGTTGTCAAATACCCGCACATGTCCATTTAAGCAATTTTTAAACGTTATTTAGAAATAGCGCTTGGTGTAATTGATCCGCAAATTACGTCAGGCGGTAACGTTATTAGCAGGTGTTGCGTTAAAAATTGACTCGCGCATATCGCGCATGATAAGGTACGTGTAAATACTGCATGGCGCTATTCGGTTTTCCGATATCTCTCTAATAACTGTGCCGGTCAGACGCTGTGCACAATTTTACAGGCCATAAGTGGGCGTGCTATGTGCGCAAACTAGTAACCTAACTAGTGCCCGATTCCGAAAATTGGAACCACGAAAAACAATAAAGAAAAAACAAAGTTTATAATCTGTATAATCTGTGGTTAAACACCACCTTATGTCTAAAAAAACGCTAAATAATTTAATTTGATATTTTCAATGATGATTCCTAAACAGTACCTCTTTAGGGTTGCCCAATTTGTTATAGTACGATTTAGGAAAGTAACTGGTTTAATAGAGGAACCTTATGGCGGAGCTTGAAGTATATCGCATGCTACAAGTGAAATTTGGAGGTGACTTCCCAAGACACCCAAAAAGTGTGAGTGGATCGGGATGGTTTTTGTAAACACCCTGTGTATTATTGCATTTTTGCCTTCCTTTCAGATCACTTTACATACTCCTAAGATATGAGTAAATATATTTCGATAGTTTCTCTCTGAAAAATATATAGTGTTACGTTAAAAAAAAGAAGAAAAATTACTTTATATTTTAGAAAGTGTGGCGTAGAATTTTGAACACCCTGTATGATTTAAGATTACGATATTTATAGAAAAGTAAGTACAGACCATCTAAAGTAAATACTATAATATAGTTTTGATTTCAGAAATTTTCATTTTTAAACAAAGGCTGAAAAAATAATTTTTTTACTTATTTATTTAATATCTCTGAAACTATCGATATATATTTACTCATATTTTAGGAATATGTCAAGTGATCTGAAAGGAAGCCAAAAATTCAATAGTATACAGGATGTTCCATTTAAAAAAATCATCCCAATCCACCCGCACTTTTTGGAGCCAATCCCGTAGAAGCTAAAATATTTTCCTAAAATAGATCCTAGTACAGCTCTTAAACAAAATTCCCAAGTTTTGTGCAAAGTTTTTTTGCGTCACACAGACTGTATAATACTTCAAATCAATTTATCACTTTTTAATAAGCCAATAAATCAAGTTTTAATTCAATAACCATATTTTACTTAGACACGTACGTGACACACAAAAAAAAACAGATATGCTGCTGGTAAACACATACAATAAATAATACAACAGTTTTTCCAACTGTGCATTCGCTCTGAATACAGTTATCCGCTGCAATATAACTAATGCTTTCCTGCTCCAAATGACAGGTAATTTTTTCCTGTGAACCACACAAGAAAAAACGAAAACAAAGCAAAATAAAATGCATCGAAATTGACGCCTTCCTTATTTATCATTGATGTAGTGTATATTTTTAAATAACATTAATTCAATCTGTTCTGAATAGAACAATAAATTATTTAATAGGAATAATAATGTTTTATTAATCATATGTTTATAGTGAGTGAACCAGTTATGTTATAAGCAAAATAAGATGAGAAAAAAATACTTTTTTAATGTAACTAACTGAATCCCACCAATGATATAATAAAATATTTTTCCCATTTTTTATTTTCTATTATTTCTCTACTATTATCTCCCTGGTAGAGTATGTCCCTAGATAGTTTTACAAGAGGAAAAGCCTTTTTGTTTTAATCATTTTAAGAAAAATGCATTCTTTATAAAAAATACTTCTTCTAAAACAGTTAAAAAGTTAATAATAATAAAGAATAATATATATATATATATATATATATATATATATATATATATATATATATATATATATATATATATATATATATATATATATATATATATATATATATATATATATATATATATATATATATATATATATATATATATATAAGTCGGTTCAGAACGTCCTACGACGTTTTCCGACACCTAACCTCCACTCTTCTCTATTTAGCCAGAGATCATCAGGTATTTCTCTATTTTCTAGTTCTTTATCCACACCCTCCCTCCAGCTTCGTCGCGACCTTCCTCTTTTATTTCTGCCTCGAGGTATCCACAGTAATTTGTTTTGGTATTCTGTGATCGGGCATTCGTTGCACATGGCCAAACGATATGAGTTGTTTTGTTCTTATGTCGTCCACAATTGTGTGTTCTGTTCCCATAATCTCTCTTACTCTGTCGTTGGTTATTTTTAGATTTTCCAGCAGATCTCCTCCAGTAATCCATTTCGGTCGCTAATAGCATGTTCTCTGTTCTGCTTTTCAACTGCCATACTTCGCTTTCGTAAGTTATTATGCTTTTCACTGCCGTATTGTATATGTTCTTCTTATTAGCCTTAGAAATTCCTTGAGCCCACAGTACACCATTCAACATAGACATTGCCTTCCTGTCTTGCATTATTCGATCTTTTATACCCTCATTGAGTTTTCCATCGTTAGTGATTTTTAATCCAAGATATTTATATTTGTCACAGTTTTTTATCACGCTTCCATCCTCTAAGACTATGTTCTCCTGTGGCCCCCCTACAGTCATACATTCGGTTTTGGTGATATTTACCTCCAACCCCCATTTTTTATACTCCTCTATCAGCTTCCGTGCCATATATTCAAGGTCATCATGATCTTGGGCTAGGACTATCTGGTCGTTCGCAAAAAATAGGGTTTATAGGGTGTCCTCATTTATTAGGGGGGTTCCCATTCATATACACTTAAGCATCCATTTTTTTAGTGCTTATTGCAGGTATATTTTGAATAGTATAGGAGATAGGCAACATCCCTGCTTGAGGCCTTTTGTAATTTTTATGTTTTCTGACAATGAGTCTCGTATTTTTATTCTAGCTGTGGTGGTCTGGTATAAGTACTTAACTGCTTTAAGCAGGATGACATTTATATTAGTTATTTCCAACGTTTCCCACAATTTATTTAAAGGTATGCTGTATATAAGCCTTTTGAAGGTCTATATATAGTAAGTGTACCTCTTGATCTTTGGCCGTTTTTTTCTCTAAGACCTGTGTTATGGTAAACAGATGATCCCCAGTAGACCTTCCCCTAAAGAATAACACTTCTTCTAAAACAGTACATTCCCGTATGATGTTTATCGGAAAAACGGCGCGGCGTCCAGCTGGTTTGGATATGACGATCAATGACACATTCCCATATAATTTTACATATAAAATGACAGCGATCTTCATTTTATAGACACCGTTGACGCCATTTTTTTTTCGATCATATTGTATTTAGGTAACAAACAAATACAGGGTCAGTGTTAAATAAGCGCAAATATTTTTAGGAGTGCCGGTATATCTCGACCCCAGAAACAAATTTATCAAAAAAATCTTCAAAATAATTCTTGAAAATTTGGAGTTTTTTTAAAAAAGTTTGCAAAATCTCTTTAAATTTTAGTTAAAAATCATAAAAATCTTCATTATATGGCAACATGGGTAGTAGGGTAAAGGAAATAAAACCCAGAAAAGACCCAGCGGTGCTCAAAATGTAAGCGAAAAAGCAATTTTTCTTGAAATTTTTTAACTAAAATATCTCGGTTATTTTGGACTTAATTTGAAAAACCATAAAAAAATATGTTCCTTTTATCGAGATCTAACAGCCCCGAAAATATTTGCACTTATTTAAGACTCACCCTGTATATCTTTACATATATATTATCGAGATTAATAAAAATTGCATTGCCACAAGTAATTCAAATAAATGTAATTGCTACAAACAAGTTTAATTGAGGTGGCATAAGCATGTACTTAGTAACTTTATTTATTCATTTTTTTCAGCACTGTTTTCGGCTGTGGAATGTGGACATTTAGAAAAAGCAAGAACAATATTAGAATCCACAGATGCGGATATTAATAGGTAAGTCTAAAATTAATTTCAAGTAGCAAAAATAATTTTGTTTTGTCAAAAATTATCACATCAAAGAGTCTTTCAAGTCTCTTTGACCATTATACAGATCTATTGTGGTCTTCTACTGATCTCTAGGTTACATTCGCCAATACTATCCTATTCAAAAAGTCATTATTTTGGATACTGAAATTCCATATACATAGATCTACGTCGATGAATTTTCATTGTATAATACTAAGAATCCCACATTTGCCAGTAAACATACACTATCAGGCAAAAGTAGAGAAACTTTTTTAAACTCGTCGGATTTCAAAAACCTCCAATATTTAAAATAATGTTTGTTTTAAACATATTTTTCTTTTCAAAATACCATCATTTTTCGCCACATTCCAAATTTATCTTATCAGGTGTTTATTTATAATATGGATACAAATATTTTTGAAAAACATAAATAAAGAAACCAACATAAAAATTGACCATACTTAGTAGTTATTTGCTTAAGGTGAAAACTGTTGATATTCTGATTTTCATTTTTACTAAATACACCACGCGGAAAATATTTGTCTGGGGATCTTCGCGAAAAAATAATCAACGCACATCGGAATTGTGTAGGCAAATGGACAATAAGCAAAATGTTTAATTTGCATAAGTCTGTCATTATCAAAACGATTTCCAATTTCAAAACTCGCAATTCCTTAAAGACTATTAAAAAAAAGTGGTCGGCCAAAGAAAATAACGAAAAAAATTGAAATGATAATTAAAAAAATCGCCTTAACTAATCCGCATAAATCGGCAAATCCAATTTTAAGTGAACTACCAGGTGTCAATATAAGCTCTAAGACCATCCAAAGAAGGCTAAGGGAAGCAGGATTATTTAGTAGCAGAGCAACCAAAAAACCACTCATCAGTAAGAAGAACCAGAAGGCCAGACTTACCTTTGCAAAAAAATATTTGCACTGGTCGACGAATGACTGGAAAAAGGTCCTGTTTTCAGATGAAAGCAAATTCAATATATTTGTATCCGATGGCATATCGTGGATACATCGGCATCGCCCAGAAGGGAAAAGATTTGATCCAAAGCATACCAAGACCTCTGTAAAGCATGGTGGTGGATCTTGCATGGTGTGGGGATGCTTCTCGGGCTATGGCATGGGACCACTGCATGTAATAGAAGGAACAATGGATCGATTTATGTATTTGGACATCTTAAAGAAAGTGATGATTTCGTTTGCTGATGATAATTTGCCTTTAACCTGGATATTTCAGCAAGATAATGATCCAAAGCATAAATCAAAAATATTACAAGAATGGTTTTTGTCCGAACAAATTAGGGTTATGGACTTTCCTGCTCAAAGTCGAGACCTTAACCCCATTGAAAACCTGTGAGAGGAACTAGAGCGCCTAAGACGAAGTCACATTAGCAATAAAAAAGATTTGATAAGAATTTTGAAAGAGGCCTGGAATTCCATTGAACCAGATACCATAAGAAAACTATTGGACTCGATGCCAAAACGATGTCGTGAAGTTATAGCTAATCGCGGTTACTCTACCCATTAATAATTTTATTAGGTTAGCAACAACTATATGTACTTCCAATTTTTATAGTAATTTTTAGTTTCTCTATTTTTGTCTCTATAGTTTTCGTGAGACATGTGATCATTTCATTTAAATAAGAACTATTTAAGTATCTTTAATTTTAACAATGCATGAAATGGCCTCAGTCCCTGCGTTAACCAAAATGACACAATTTTAAAAAATGTCTCTGCTTTTGTCCGATAGTGTACTTGCCGCTGAACCACAATCGGCCACTTTTGAGGTCTTTTTTTCACTCACACCGAATCAAACAGACACAAAACCCAGTTTCATGCGCTTTAACCTCCTATAAAACAAAGGACTAAATTTATTTCACCTGCAATTCGAAGAATTATGACCAAAAATCGAGCAGATTCTTTTCGGGAATGATTTAAAATTTTAATTCGCCGTCTCCCGTAAAAAGTTCTGCTGTAATATGAATAAATGTATGACCGTTTTAAAGAATTCTTGTCGTAAATAAATATTTCCTACCGAAATTGCCCGTACTAAAGCGCCTTTCGCCAAGATAAATTTACTGCGGAGAGGAAAAAATTCGAGCAAATAAATGTTTCATTAAAGGAAATAGAGGAGGAAAGAGAGCAAAAAAATTGCAAGTGCTAGTGGGAAGATCTAGAGTTTCGTTTAACTTCTTTTTATATGTACTTTATTTTGTTACATCAATAGATCGAAGTTTTTCATTCATATATTTTTCCATAGCAACTGTTAAAATCGAGGGTTTACAGAGGAATTATGGTGTACACTATGAAGGAATTCTACAGGAATTCCAAGGAATTACGAGGAATTCCAAGGAATTCCATAGGAATTACTGGGAATACCAATTATTTCCGTAAGAATTCCAATGAATTCCAAGGAATTCCTTAGAAATTTAGAGGAATTCCACAGGAATTAAGAGGAATTACAAGCAACTTTATAAAAAATTAACGAACATTAGTAAACCATGAATACTATAATAGGCAGTACTAAATTTAAAGAAAAACGTTTTGCAGGCGATTTTTTACTATCCGTTTTTCTTTTTTGCTTCCAAAATTTCCCAATATCGAATATCTACAAGCTAGATATTCTTTTAATTTAATATTGTACCCTCGATTATATATCTAAAATATTTTCCAATAGTACGGCCGAACCACCCCCGAGAGATCTACTTATAACGTTCCCTGATTTCGCCATTTTAAAGAAACCCTCATAAGATTTTTTTATTCAGTACTTAGAAAGTGTAAAGTTGATTTTTTCATTTCCTCGGAATAATACCTAGGTATATACTATAGGGAAATTAATACAACTTTAGGTGCACTTCATCAATGATACCATGCGTAATCTTATGGAATTTACTGGTGATCGTATTATGACGTGCAACTGAAGTTTTATTAATTTCCTTTCCTATAGATACGAGTATAACTAGGTACCTATCATTTTCAAAAAATCCCGAGAAAAATTAATTTTAATAAGTAAGTGCCGACATATTTCCAGTATTTTTACCTCATGATCCCCTATTAGTCCTAAAATTTAACTAAAAAAACGTAAATCTCGTAATAGTACTTTTTATTGTTAGATCTAGTACTTATAGAGACATTAGACATTTATAAAAATCACCAGAAAATTCATAGCGGAACTGCGAAACCGAGGTGGCAACGCTGGTTCAGACTGAAAGAGTTACCGAGTTCGTACCAAGGAATTCCAAGGAAGACTTTGAATGATTGACCTTGACCTTGAAGACCAGGAATTCCAAGGAATTCCGAAGGAATTACGAGGAATTCTGAGGAATTATTTGAGTAAAAGGAATTACGGTGTACACTTTTCCCTCTGCGGTTTACCCCTCGGTTAAAATTGCCTTATGTCATCAAAAATAGTAGATAAAATAGTACTTTAACCGCAAGACTAGATTAAATGCAAAAAAAGCAGTGCAAAGAAATTTCACGACATCTTCTGGGTTTAAAATTTTTGACTTTTTCGGTTTGTAATCGCCACATGACTGCTTCAAGAAAGCTATGAGCTTGTTATATCTACAAAGTTTAGATGTTACTATATTACTACGGAAATTTAAACGGTATAGCTTATCCTTAACCTTGAAATATCAATGTTTTCATTGACCAGTATTGTACTTTTTAGCATTGAATAGTACGACCATAAACTGGACGGCTGCATTTTCTTTGATTTGTCAGAAAAATATGCTAAAAGTATGTTTTCACCTGATCTTTCTTCTCGCACGTTTTTTAATTGCTTCTATTTTTGAAAATTTTTGTATTCCTTTTCATAAATTATTCGGGATTTAAATGGAAGTAGTTTGGATATTGCGTTTGTCGCCTCAGCCTGAATATCTGTTGGTAATTTACTTATTTCGTTTTGAGCCATTTCTGGCTCCAATTCAATCAGCAATCGACACGAAAGAGAATTAAAAAATATTGACTCAAAACAGACAACTAAAGAGACAGCTTTATTTATTTGTCAAATTACATAGAAACCAACGCCAACCCAGCACAATATTTTTTCTACTCGTAATAAATTCCTTGAAATAATAATTTCTGAATATTTTTTGAAACGTAACTCAACTAAAAAAATATTGTTTTATACAGGACGATAAAATTATTGCGTTATCGTCTCCCGAAATTAATTAAAAATATTATTAAGTTATAAAGGGCAAACTTTTTCTATAATTTTTTTATAGTGTATCTTGACACTTTGAACATTAACTAAAATTGCTCTTATGAAAAATTATTTATTTTCAATTAAAAATCAACAAAGGAAATTAAGTTATGTTTGAGTATAGTGCCCTACTATAATTATTATAAATAATATAATGATATTTTTAAAAAATATTCTATTTAAATAAATAATATTTATATAAAATAATATTGACATACTTATTTAGAAAAAGTTTTTACGTTACCATTATTTCTATATTAATCACTAGAATTTAATTAATAGATGTGATTTAGATAATATTATAATAATATTTTTAACAGCAATCTATCACTTTCATATTCTTATTGTGAATTTTTAACTAAGTGATACCCTATTCTTTATTTTCATATCTAAATTTCTTTTAAAAACATTTTTCATGTACGAAATAATATTCTTTTCTGCTTTCTGATATTACTCTTATATTACTCTCACAATGAATGTTTATTATGGCGAATATACAATAAAACTGACACAAGACAAACAGCTTCCAAGATGAAAAATATATACATATTTTTAAGTCATACATATATTATTTGAAAACATGAACTTTCTTACATATTGAGAATGTAGAATGCTGGAAAGAAAAATATGCCTCGGAAGCGATAACAATGATTGAAATATGTAGTTGGCTATTCTGATATTGCTCGTTTGGTTGGCAATTGTTTTTTTTTGTTCAAAAAAATTGTTTGTTAAAAGGTATCTATACTAATATATAAAATCCTTAAGTGACTGACATA